CACACCCCACTTCCTGGTCTGGCTGCAGCCTTGCACCTTCCAATGTGTGGGACCAGAGGCCTGGACAATGGCTGCCTTGTGTGGAGGGCCTGTCAGAGAGTCCGTGGCCTGGGGTGGGCGCGTGGAAAGGCGAGGATGCCTCGATCTGGGTGAAGCTGTGCATGGGCCACCTCTGACTGGTGAGCTTCTTCTGAGCCTCCCATCAGGAGAAACTCCAGTGGCACAGCTTGGGAGTCCCCAGTTTCTTACCCCCCACTCGCCATTTGCGAGGAATGCCATGCTGGGCCTGACCCCAAAATTCCAAGCAAAGCAGAGAGGTGCTTGCCATGCCCTGCCCTGCCCTGCCTCCCCCCACGGCTGCCTGGCTTCCTAGCAGCCTGGCCACGGGAATGCGGGTTGGGCAGCTCCTCCCTGGCCTAATTAGGGGTTACGCTTGCACAAGGCGACTGACAGCCTGCCACTCAGGCGGCTGCGGCCGAGGGGCCCTGCACAAACACAGGCAGGCACGCACACCCGGCCACCTCTCTGCCCCACAGGGCCACCAGGCCGGGTCCTCAAAAGACTGAGCTGCCCTGGAAGGTGGCCTGGCCCCTCTCCAGGCAGGGCCATGCTGTGGCCGTGCTTCCATGGCTCTGGAGGCGGGAGGGGCTGCTGGGGTGACCCAGGAGGAGCAAGGGCAACACCAGAAGGGGCCGACTTGTCCTGGCCTCCCCCGCAGGCGGGGAAGGGTCGGATCCACTCGCAATGCCTTACAGGGAGGAGACACCGCTCAGGCTCAGCGAGAGTCTTTGTGAAACCTGAGCTGCCGGTTTCCCAGCAAGTCCTCCTGCTCCAGGCCCCAGACTGCGTGGGACCGCCCCTCCCTCCCTCCCTCCCGGCTCTCCCCAGTCTGAAGGGTCTGGGACATCAGTCCTTTCAAACAGCATTTCCACCCCAGCCCAAGCCAGAGGATAGCGCCCAGCACCCAAAATCATCCCATGCTGAGTAGCTGGGAAAGGAAGAGGCGGCCCCTGGGAGACCCCAGCTGTTTTGGCAAGCATTGCGTGGCCGCTGTAGTCTTGACTGGGGAGCAAATCTCGTGTGACCGGGCACGCCTTCAGCAAATAGTCAGCAAGAACCTCCCCGCAAGGTTTCGCGGAAAGGCAGAACGAAGCTGGGTAGAAAAACATGGGGGTTCCCCTGCCACATGGCCCCCTTGGCAGCTGCAGCAGCCCCAGGTGTTTGCAGCATGGTGGCGCCCCCCCAGCCCAGCCTGTGTGGGGCGTGTCCTGAGCTCCCCAGGGGCTGGCTTCAAGGGAAGGATGCTGTGGGTCAGCGAGCCCTCTGATCCACTGCCAGCCACCGCACGCTTTGGGCTTTTTTTAGCAGGAGCCTGAGGGAGCGTTTGGAGCCGTCTCGGGCTCCGTGCAGCATCTTGCAACCAGATGGCTCCCCAGCTCCTGCAAGCACACCCAAGCCTTTGCAGGGGGCGCAAAGGGAGCCCTGCTGGGCCTGTGAGTTGCGTGGAGGCACGGCTGTCTCCCGGTTGGCATGGGGGGAGGACACAGGAGGTTGCTTATCAGCTGCCCGCACCTCAAGGGCTCCCCCACAGAAGGTGGCGTTAGAGCTGGGGAGATCGCTGGGGGCCAATGCAACAGTCACCTGGCCCAGGTTCATACCTTGGGCATTGCTGAAACTTCATTTCTTAATGAAACAACGGATGAGGGTCTCACAACTGTATTATGTTGGTA